TTGTGTTACTGTTTATAAATTACAATTGTAAATAAACCAGTACAATTTGCTCAGAACTTTGTTCTTAATGATGCTCTTGTTCTTTCTCCCCTCCTCCCCTGTTTGTAAATCTCTGCAGAAAACACAAAGTTAGAAAATGGACGGCTATCTTTCCAGTGGAATTTAATGTTCAATTTTTAGGATTGAAAGTATTGGATTCCTATTTCTGCTCATCTATATGGGGAGGAGAAAAGAGCTAGTTTAAAACTAATGACATTAAATCCAGGTGCAATAAATTCGTACCTTGACCTACTTCCCTGTACTTTAGTTTCCTCATCTTAATACCACAGTTACTAGTTACAAATATTAAACAAAAATACATGTTATTCATTGTATTAGGCACTTAAGTAGCTCATCCTTCCTTAACTGGCCCACAGAGAACAGAACTAGAATTCACTGTGGGATATCTGCCTCTTACCTATGCTCAAGGATTGCAGAGTTTGCAACATTATGAGATTGTTACTATTTTCTGTATTTCCAAGATTAGAAAAATGAAGGCTGAAAGAAATTGAGTGAAAAATGAAGGTATCTTCCCTCCCTACTCCCTGAGAATTAATTATTGCTTATTAAGGTATAAAATCAATTCTCTTACATAGACTTGGTGCTAATCGCCAACCACTGATGAAACACGTTTTCTGGCAGGGGTGATAAATTTGTACTGATACATACTCAGCCATTTTTGCTGCCAGTGTGTTTCACACAGGATCTTAACTATTGAGCATGGTACTCTAACATACTACACTAACCAGCCAGAGATTGGTGGGTCTATTTAAAGTTCACAGTTGGTCTTAAGGAAAACCCAACTCCATAGGTTGAATGTGTGTTGAAACTGATGTTTCAACTTTACTCTTAACATTTTGAATTAAAAAATTTATTGAAATATAATCCACACCTTTTGGAAGGTCGACCAAGTGGTTTTTAGTATATTCACAGACTTGTGCAACCATCACTGGTATTTAATTTCAGAATATTTCATTGCTCAAGAAAGACCCATACCCAGGGTGCCAGGGTGGCTCAGTGAGTTAAGCAGGTAAGTGTCTGCCTTTGGCTCAGGTCATGATCCCAGGGTCCTGGGATGGAGCCCGAGTTGGCTCCCTTCTTGTTGGGGGCAGGGAGGAATTCTGCTGCTCCCTCTCCCTCTGCCCCTGCCCCCGTCCTCCTCTCTTGTCCTCTTTGATGCATTCTCTCTCTCTCTCTCTCAACTTAAAAAAAAAAAAATCCATACCCATTAGCAGTAAATCTCCTTTTCCCTTTCTCTAGCCCTTGGCAGTCACTAATTTCCTTTTCTGTCTCTATGGATTTGCCTATTCTGGACATTTCATGATAAAGGGAATCCTACAATAAATTGTGTCTAGCTTTTTTCACTTAGCATAACATGTTCAAGCTTCGTGTTGTAGCATGTATCAGAGCTGCATTCTTTATGGCTGTAGAGTATGCCACTGAATGGATATATCACATTCATCCCATTCACCTTTTTTTTTTTTTTAAGATTTTATTTATTTGAAAGAGTGTGAGCACAAGTGGTGGAGGGAGGGACAGGAGAGGGAGAAGCTGACTCCCCAATGGGCAGAGAGCCTGACACGAGGCTCGAGGTTCCATCCCAGGACCCCGGGATCATGACCTGAGCTGAAGGCAGCTGCTTAACCGACTGAGCCTCCTAGGAGCCCCTATCCCTTCATCACTTGATGGACATTTGTGCAAAGCTCTAAACCCAGTATAATTCCGGAGTATGAAGATTTATTTTTTTGTAGTATCGTACATGCTCCTAAGATCTCGTCTGCTCTTAGAATTCGTGCTCTTATTATGGTGGAGATGATTCCAGTTCTGATTTTCAGCCCTCCATCTCTGACAACTCTTACTCATTTGTGTATCTGTCTCACCCCCAAAATTGAACTTCTGTCCCCCCCCCCCCCCGGACAAATTTCCCTAATACTATGAAGATTGAGTGGAGGATAAGATGCTTAGGGAAAAGAGACCAGTTAGGTTGCCTGAAGCAGTTGCCCTCAACTGCTTCTTGTTCCTCAAGTGAGGAAGGTCTAGCTGTGAATGGTGGTCACAGGAATAGAAAAGGAGGCAGCAACCAAGGGGGGCTCTTAGAAGAGTCAGAAGGGCCTTGTCCTTACCAGAGGTGCAGGATAAAACACTTGAAAAATACAGAAGTGATTCGGTTTTTGAGGGGAGGGCGTGGGGAACCAGGAGAACTGGGTAACAGCACAAATGGTGGTGCCTGTATGGAAGAACAAAGGTGGGGGGGAGAAGCTCCTTCAGGGGTGATAAAGTTAGTTTTGGCTGGTTGAAATTTTTTTTTAATTTTTGGTTTATTCATAAGAGATAGGGAGAGAGGGAGGCAGAGACACAGGCAGAGGGAGAAGCAGGCTCCATGCAGGGAGCCCGACGCGGGACTCGATCCCGGGCCTCCAGGATCAGGCTGTGGGCCGAAGGCATGTGCTCAACTGCTGAGCCCCCCGGGGATCCCCGGCTGGTTGAATTTGAACCGATGTCTAGACGCGGAAATAGGGGTGACTTACCCACCGGAGTCGCTGGCAAGGTACCTCGAATAAAACTAGAACCTGACCAGTCCCCAGCCCAGGGGAGGTCACTCGGGCACCACCGGGCTTTGCCCCGGGCCTCAGGGGTCCACGTAGTGTGGTGGTTGTAGTCTCGTTCCTTTCCGGGGGGGGGGGTGCAGGAACCCGAGGCGCTGCTGCTGCGGTTGTAGGGTAGGGTGGGGAGTGGGGTGACAGGGAGGACGGCCAGGGAGTCCTCCAGCCTGTCTCCACCTCTGAGTTCTTTTTGTGCTACAGGTTATGGAAGGTCCTGAGAAGGAAGTGATTTGCCTTCGCATTGATGGCGTCGGTGGCGGAGCCAGAACTGGAACCCAGCGACTAGCTTTTCCATTATGCCCAGAAAGTTCTAAAGGAAAGCTCAGAACCAGTTTTCATATTTCTTACTGTTCCTTCCCTAGAAGCCGAGGCACTACCTTCCCTGCACATGATGTGGGGAGCGCAGCGCCCACGGACTCCTGGCCTTGTCTGTCACTCCTGGTTCTCCCACCCCTCGGGTGGCTCGCTCCCCGGTTTCCAGGCCCTTCCTGTGCTCGGCCTTTCACGGTCCCCTCGCAAGTTGTCCTCCATGCTCAGAGCTGTGTCTTAGTTTAAATTGCTGATGACTCAGCCTCCAGCCTGACATAAGAGTTACTGGGCAGCCCCCCCCCCCCCCCCGGGGTGTTCTACTCGCAGGTCCAGCGATGTTTGTGGTACCCCCGTCACATACAACTTCGTGCCGGTGACCTTGCAAATCTAAAGGAAATGGGTGACTTTGCAGATTGTAAGTGGCCAAAATGACTCAAGACTTAATAAGCTAATAAGCAGAGCAGAAATTAAAAGGTTAGTATCTTCCTGCTACAAAGCCAGGTCCAGGTAGTCTGCTAAACCTTCAAAAAAACCCATAATTTGCTAGGTATTTCCCCCCAGCTTTTTATTTTATGAAAATTTTATCATTTGAAGCTTTAGAGTTTAAAACTTTTATAAAGTATTAAAACATAAAAATAAAGTATTAAAACAGTACTATGAATAGCTATATATTCTCTTAGACATAATAAATTTGCCACATTCACTATATATTCACATATTTTCCTTTTATCTACATTTTTAAGCCAGACATTCTGAACTTCACCCCTAAATGCTTCAGCATGCTTCTTCTCAGAGTAAAGACATTGGCATAATCACAAATTCATTAAAGCATCAAATATCTGGTTCATACTTAAATGTCTTTAATTATTCCAAAAAATGTCTTTAGAGTATCCTTTTAAAAACTAGATCCACGGGATCCCTGGGTGGCGCAGCGGTTTGGCGCCTGCCTTTGGCCCAGGGCGCGATCCTGGAGACCCGGGATCAAATCCCACATTGGGTTCCCGGTGCATGGAGCCTGCTTCTCCCCCTGCCTGTGTCTCTGCCTCTCTCTCTCTCTCTCTCTCTGCGTGTGTGACTATCATAAATAAATAAAAAATAAAAAAAAATTGATCCACTTTGATAAACTATTCCAGAGCATTAAAAAAAAATGGAAAGGAAGAAAAAAAAAAGGATAGCAAGCTTTTATTCGTTTTATGATTTTTGATCCCCAAACCTGACAAAAAGGCACAAATACACGAAACACAAAAATCCAAAAGCAATACTGGGCGCCTGGGTGGCTCGATCCGTTAAGCCTCTGCCTCTGGCTCGGGTCAGGATCTCAGGGCCTGGCATCCTCTCAGGGGGAGCCGGCTTCTCCTACCTCTGCCCGCCCCTCCACCTGGCCCCACGCGCTCGCTCTCAAATAAAATCTATCTTTATTTTTATTTTATTTTATTTTTTAAATCTATCTTTAAAAAAACCAAAAAGACACCCTAATAAACGTAAATGCAAAAGTCCTAACAGTATTAGCGTATTTCCGTTAAGAGCACAAGAGCATGAAGTGCCCGCCTTCCCCTCCGCGTGACGCCGCGGCCGGGGCCTCGAACCCTCACCCTCGGGAGCGGGGCCGCGGAGCAGCCCTGGGCGCACGGAGCCCGAGCCCCCGCCCGCAGGCGGGTCCCCGCGCAGGCCGCGCTCCACGGGCGGGCGGGGCCAGGGGCAGTGGGGTGGGCGGGGCCAGCGGGCCGGGGCGGGGCCAGGGGCAGTGGGGTGGGCGGGGTCAGCGGGCCGGGGCGGGGCCAGGGGCAGTGGGGTGGGCGGGGCGGGGATGGGCGGGGCCAGCGGGTCGGGGCCAGCGGCCGGGGCGCGGCGTGCGCGGATGTGCGGCCCCGCCCCCTCCTGCGCGCGGCCCCGCCCCCTCCTGCGCGCGGCCCCGCCCCCCCGTGCGCGGCCCCGCCCCGCCCCGCGCCGTGCGCCTCGTCGGTCGGTGCGTCTGCGCCCGGCCCGGCCGCGCCGCGCATGCTGCCCCGCGGGAGAGCGATGGCCAGTGAGTAGCGCGGCCCCGGCCCAGCCCTCGCCTCCGCCTCGCGTCCCCGCCGTGCCGCGGGCCTTCCCGGGCCCCCCGCGGGTTCCGGGCCCCCCGCGGGTTCCGGGCCCCGGGCGGGCCGTCCGCTGCGGCCTCTCGGGCGCCGGGCTGCAGGAGCGCGACGCCGCCAGCCGGGAGGGAAGCTCCTCGCCGGGGGGCGGCCCCGAGCGTCCCGGAGGCTCCGGGCTCCGCGTTAGAAAGCGCGCCCGTGCGGGGCGGCCGCCGTCGCTCGCTTCACCTCAGGTTGATTTTTGAGCTTGGGTTTTGCAAAGGCATCGGCCCCAGGCATTGGCGGCTTGAACCCCGTCTCGGCGAGTGGAGCGTTTGTGTTCCTGGGTTTGGGCCGTGCGGGCAGGGACCGGCCCTTGCCCCGGGTCGCAGCCCTCACGCCCAGGGGAGAGCCCGCTCTTCTGAGCAAAAAACCAGGACAGACCGCCCTGCATCAGGCCGTTGAGCTCTGAGGTTAGGTTTCGCGTCGCTCCCCGTCCCGCTCCTGGACCGGCCCCGGGGCACGTGCCAGCTCTGCTCGTCCCCAGGCCTTTGCCAGATTCTTCCACGGGACGGAGGCCCCGGACGCCTAGTCTGGAGACCTGGGGCATCAGGGGCTTGCCCAGCCCATGTCAGCGGGTCATTGACTCCCTCGGAACCTCAGTTTCCCGGCCTGTAAAATGGGCCTAGAGGCGGTGGGCCCGGAACAGCCCCTGACGGCCCTGGCTGCCGACGGCCGGGGCCGGGGCGGGGCGCACGGGCTGGCGAAGCCCCCGCACAGGCCGCGGGAGAGTCGCTGCGCGCCCTTCCTTCCCCAGCCTCTGTCGGCCTCTCGGGGTGGTTTGTTTTGTTTTCTTTTTGCTACTTACCGTCGTGCTCTTTGGGGCGCAGGAGTATTCGTGGGGTGAGCAAAACCTCCCGGGGGCCTAGGGGCCCTGTCTGTGACCCCGCACAGGTGCAGCTCGTGGCTGCCCCCTCACCCTGGGGCCCTGCCGGTGACCCCGCACAGGTGCAGCTCGTGGCTGCCGGCACCCTCCCCCCCACCCCACCCCGGGGCCCTGCCGGTGACCCCGCACAGGTGCAGGCCGTGGCTACCTACCCTCCCCCCCCCGCCCTGCCGGTGACCCCGCACAGGTGCAGCTCCTGGCTGCCCGCCCCCCAACCCCCCCCCTCCGCCCTGCCGGTGACCCCGCACAGGTGCAGGCCGTGGCTACCTCCCCCCCCCCCCCGGGCCCCCAGCAGCCGGCAGCACACCGAGTCCCATTCAGAATCGGAGCTTGAGCCCAGGAGCAAACAGGAAGCGCTGATCTCCTGTTCAAACTCCGGCTCGTCCTTCGAGCTGCGGGAGAGGGGGCGGGGGGGGGGGGTCCCGGCCTCCGCAGCACTCACACCTGGTGCTGGATAATTGTTTGCCGTGAAGGGCTGCGCCGCGGGCTGCGGCCGTGGGGCCCGGACTGCCCCCGGGTGAGGAGCCCCCGGATTCGGCGTCCGGGCCCCGGTAACCCCGGGTCTCTGCTCGCCCGCAGCTTTCCGCCTGGCCCTCGTCCAGCTCCAGGTTTCTTCCTTCAAATCGGAAAACCTCGCTCGCGCTTGTGGCCTCGTCCGGGAGGCGGCGGGACGAGGAGCCAAAGTCGTGTCCCTGCCGGTGAGTGTGGAGGCGGCGGCGCGGCCCGGGTCCTCCCCGTCTGGCAGGTGGTCCGGGCGGTAGGACGCCCCGAGGGCCCGCGGCTGTGTTCGGGACGCTGTGGGGGACACTCCGCCTAGGAAGAGGGCCCGTGCCGTGGACGCCCACCTCCTTGCCCGGCGTCTCGAAGTCTTTGCAGGACCGCGGCGCCGTGACTGCCTCTGGGCCTCCAGCATGGTAGGAAGCCTGCGAGGCCCAAGTGCCTGCCTGAGCCGCTGGGCGCCTGCGTGGCCCCCAGGCCGTGGCCTCAGGAGCGCGCCCGGCAGAGGCCGCCGCCTTGGCGTCAGCGGGCGCGGGGGCCCAGGGAGCCCTCCTGCGCCGCCTCTCCCCGGGGCGGGGGGCGCCCCCCGCAAGCCCTGCCGAGGTGGACGAGAATTTTCAGAGCCACCTTGTGTTTTCGGGGTCACCTGGGCGAGCGCAGGGCCTTCCCGGGAGCGGCCTGCCTTCCGGCCACGGCCACGGGTGTGGGCCCCGCAGGATTCCGCCTGCTGGGCCGGGGCGAGAGGCCGTGAGGCCGCGGGTGCCCCGTGTCCTGCCTGGGGCCGGCCGTCCCCGCGCAGCGGCCGGTGCGCACCCTCGGCCCGCGAATGAAGGAAGGAGAGTCGGAGGCTGCTGTCTGCTGCGGGAGCGGCCGGGGACGCACGTTTGGGGGAAGCGGGTTTCGCAGGATCAGAGCCTCGGAGCTGGGAGGGGAGGGAGCTCAGACAGAGCGAATTACACACGAGGAGACCTCTGGCTTTCGACGCTTCTGCGCTTTTCCACACACAGGCCTTGTTGCTTCCACGGTTGCTAACACAGTTGTGCGCTGTGGCTTCCTTCTCACACCCGAAGGCCTGTGATCGAGCCGAGGTGGGGAACCGAGGTTCTCCTGCTGACCCCGAGGAAGGGGCGGCCGCCAGGGAGACCCCCCGAGCGCCCGTGACCCGAGCCGCCGGGGTGCTGCGCTTCAGGCCCGGGTAACCCCCGGGAGAGCGGAGCTCGGGAAGGCCGCTGTGCCTCCTTAGAGCAGAACTTTAAAGCGGGTTGGATATTTTCTTCTGGTCTTTCTAGTTTCCCCTTTTTCTCCGCCAACATTATCCTAGGAATGCTTTAACTCGCCCTACGGCACGAAATATTTTCCTGAATATGCTGAGAAAATTCCTGGTGAATCCACACAGAAGCTTTCTGAGGTAGCCAAGGAATGCAGCGTCTATCTCATTGGAGGTAACTTCCTGCCCTCAAGGTACAGTGGCCCAAACGTGAGAAACGTCTGAATAACTCCTGGCGTTAACATTCAAACCACGGAATGCAAACCCTGTAAATTAGGCATTGAAAAGAATGAGGTGGGGGTGCCTCCGGGCTCCTTCGGCTGAGGTTATGAACTCGGGGTCCTGGGATCGAACCCACATTGGGCCCTCTGCTCAGCGGGGTGTTGCTTCTCCCTCTCCCTCAGTGCGCTCTCAAATAAATAAATAAAAAAATCTTAAAAAAAAAATGAGGTGGATTTTATGTAACGTGGAAAAATGTTTATGACACACTGTTACATGGAAGAAGCGAGTTCAATATGACATGAACAAGTACTCCCATTCAATAAGTCCCTCACACAAATGAAGCTTATGTATTTTTGTGGGTTTTTTTTTTTTTGCGAGTATTTGTAATGTAGCACATAGTAAATATCATATAAGGACACACCAAACTGGTAACGATTTTCCCAGGAGAAGCAAAGGGAATACACGGGCAGGTGGAAATGTGGAAAGAAAAACCGTATTAGAGCGTCTTCATTATACTAATACAACGTTAAGAATTTTTTTTTTTCCACAAAGAGGTTACATACATCAAGTAGCTCTATAAATGTTTTGAAATACATTTTAAAATGTTCTCTTTGCTTAAATCAAAAGTACAGTAAAACTTTAATGAATATAGCAAGACTATTCTCTGTTATATTAAGAATTAGAAATGAACGAGGTGAAGAAAAGACAAAGCAAAAAAAGAGAAATGCAGGAACTACATTCAGTGATGGCAGGACCGGCTTACGTTTCCACCTTGAGGCCTTTTTGGGTACAGTTCTGTCGCAGGACCTGGTGAATTTAAGCTGAGCCACAGTGAATCCTCCCTGTTGGTGTTAAAGATTAACCGTAGCCCAAGATCAAAGTAGAATCCAGAAACAGTTTGGTTATTTTTGAAACCTCTCTTTGGTATCTGACTTATGTTTTATCTGTACTCTGGAGTTTATCTCTGAAAGATCTTACTCAAGATAAAAAAAAAAACCAACAACCCATAATTAACCCTTCGAAGTTAGTATACTTTGGTGTTGGACCCAGGTGACCCTTTATCAAGTGTTTGTCCAGTGATATACAAGAATGCTTTATTCAGAATATTTTCTTTGCCTGTGTGGTTCTCTCAATGAAAGGTTCCATTCCTGAAGAGGATGCTGGGAAATTATATAACACTTGTGCCGTGTTTGGGCCTGATGGAACTTTACTGGTAAAGTACAGAAAGGTAAGCAGAGAATGTGGCAAATCTCATTACTTCTTGAGAATTTGCCGTAAAGTTCCCTAGTTCTTCTCATAATATTGTACACACATGGGGCATTAGACTAATTGCTGTCGTCAACTTGTCCAGTCTTGGATGTTGGCATTTTGATATAAATTTTAGACTTAGGGACACCTGGGTGACTCAGCGGTTGAGCGTCTGCCTTCGGCTCAGGGCGTGATCCTGGGGTCTGGGATGGAGTCCCACGTCGGGCTCCCTGCATGGAGCCTGCTTCTCCCTCTGCCTGTGTCTCTGCCTCTCTCTCGGTCTCTCATGAATAAATAAATAAAAAATCTTTAAAAAAAATTTTTTTAGCTTCGCCTATCAGTTTCTTTCTTTTTTAAAAAAAAATATATATATATATAATATATATTTTTTTTTATGATAGTCGCACAGAGAGAGAGAGAGAGAAGCAGAGACACAGGCAGAGGGAGAAGCAGGCTCCATGCACCGGGAGCCCCACGTGGGATTCGATCCTGGGTCTCCAGGATCGCGCCCTGGGCCAAAGGCAGGCGCCAAACCGCTGCGCCACCCAGGGATCCCCCGCCTATCAGTTTCAGCAAAGAGAAAATCTATAAAAATTTTGGTTAGAATTGCATTGAATATAGAGATATCATTGAGGAGAGTGGAAATCTAGCTGTAGTAAATGCAGACACATTGAGGATTGTTAAATATTTCTGGTAAATTGATCCTTGTCGCATTATGAAATCCATTTTTTTTTCTCATAATATTCTTTCTTAAAGTTTATTTTATCTCTGCTATGGTCACTCCAGGCTTCTTATACATAGTGTTGTAAAATACATCATCTTCTAATTCCTTATTTTCAACATGTGCCTTTGTATTTAAAATGATTCTCCTGGGAGACCCTGGGTGGCTCAGCGGTTTAGTGCCTGCCTTTGGCCCAGGGCGCGATCTTGGAGTCCCCGGATTGAGCCCGCGTCGTGCTCCCAGCATGGAGCCTGCTTCTCCCTCCTCCTGTGTCTCTGCCTCTCTCTCTCTTTCTCTCTCTCTCTGTCTCTATCATAAATACACACATACATACATACATCTTTAAAAAATAAAATGATTCTCCTGTAGGCAGGCTGCAGTTGGCTCTTACAGTTGTCTTCATTCTGATAATCTCGGCCTTCTAGCTGGTGTGTGCACTCCACTTCTATTTAACGTAATTATTGATATGGTTAGATTTAGGCCTTAGACATTTTACTGTTTTTTTTTTTCCTTTGTTCCGCTTTCCTGCATTCTCTTGGCTTAGTATTAAATGTATTTTTTAGAATTCATTTTAATTTATGTTGGCTTTTAGTTATACCTCTTTGCTTTTTTTTTAAGTTGTTGCCCCGGGATTACAACATGCACCCTATGTTTTCACAGTCTGCTTAGAATTAATGTTATTCTACTTCATATGAAATTTAAGAACTTCACAGTTGAATAGGACCCTTTCCTTCCTCACCTTATTTTCTCTGTTGTCTTACATGTTGCATCTAATATATTATTAATCCCCCACAAAACACTAAATTTTTGAGTGATCCTATGTATTTTAAAGAAATTAAGATAAAAATATTTTATCTATCAGTGTTTACTTTTTTGGTATTTTTCTTTCTAAGGAGCATAGTTCTACCTGGTATATTTGCCTTCAGACAGAAAGATCTTTAGAATTTCTGTAGTGACGATGTGCTAGATAGGAATTCTCTTAGTTTTCATTTATGAATATATATTTTGTCTTCATTCTTGAAAGATAATTTTGGTGGAATAGAATTCTGGGTTGATAGTTTTCTTTTGTTTCCTAGCAATTTGAGCCATGTTTTTCAGTTACTTTCTAGCCTTTTAAAAAAAAATTTCTGGTAAGAAGTGATTTGTATTGAAATCCTGTATGTAATTTGTGTTTTTTTTCTACAAATATTTTTTCATAATCTTTATAGTTCTCACTGTTTTGACTCTGATGCACCTGTCTAGATACGATTTTCTTTATATTTGTCCTGCTTTGTGCTTTTTTAATCTGTAAATTTAACTCTTTCATTATATTGGGGGCATTATCTTGATAAATATTTTTCTGTTCCATTGTCTTATCGGACTTCAATTTTGATACCGTTCCACCAGTCCAGGTCCCCAAGACTCAGGTTTGTTTTGTTTTTCCCTTTTTTCTTTCTCTTGTTCATTGTGGACACTTTCCTTTGATCCATTTTCAAATTCACAGAATCGTTTTTCTGTAAGCCCCAGTCTTCTGAATGCCAATCCAGTGAAATCTTTTAAAATTTCAGATAAACTTTTATTTTTCTACTGGCATTTCCTATATGTCCATTATTAAAAGTTTATTTTTTCTTTATACCTTTGAGCTTAGTTTCAATAGCTACTTTTTTGTAATGATCATATCTGAGTCCTACTTCCTTGATTGTCTTTTGTTTAGAGTTGGGTAACATTTTCTTGTTTCTTTGTGTAGTAATTTTGGATTGCATATTGGATTATATGTTGAGATTCTAGCTTCTATTACTCTGAAAAATTTTGTATTTTTTTTGTTTTAGTGAGTAGTCACTTGGTTGTACTCAAACACCATACTCTTTTTCCTTTGTGAGGTGGGCAGCAGCTTCAGCTGCTCTGTTCTATCTAAAGTTGTTTGGCTTTAGCTGGGCTGCTTGGAGTCAGGCCTATCATCTTTAATTCACTACTTAGCCAGAGATTTGGATAGATTTTTATATGCAGAATTTAGGGCTTTTCTCATTGGACTCCCTTCTTTTCAGGATTTCTCTTTCAATTTCCAGCTGCTGTGAAACTCTGTCCTCTGGTTCTTTGGGCCAACATGATAATAGGTATTTTCACCATCACTCCTAGCAACAACTGGGACCTTGCCTCCAACTCAAAGGTGTATCTGGTGTCCTTGTTTGTTCTTGATCTCAGAATGAAAAGGTTTAATATTTCACCGCCAAATATGATGTTCCTTCCTCCCTCGCACCCCCACATACTCTATCAGATTAAGGGAGTTCTCTTACCAGAAGAGTTTTTTCCTTTTGTTTTTAAATTAAGAAGGGATGTAGAGGGCAGCCCGGGTGGCTCAACGGTTTAGCGCCGCCTTTGGTCCAGGGCATGAGCCTGGGGCCCCGGGATCCAGTCCCACATCGGGCTCCCTGCATGGAGCCTGCTTCTCCCTCTGCCTCTCTCTGTGTCTCTATGAGTAAATAAAAAAATAAAAAAAAGAATGGATGTAGAGATTTACCAAATGCGTATTCACCTCTTAGGTTGATTATATGACTTTTCTCCTTTATTTTGCGAATGCGGTAAATTACATTGGTTGGTTTCCTAACGTTAAACATTGGCTTTCTTTGAATAAATCCAATTTTGAAGTGATGTTACTCTTTTATATATTGCTGCATTTAGTTTGGAGAATTTTACGTATTTTTAATTGCTTACCCACTTTCTGTATCTCCTGCCAATGTGTCAGTTTATGGTTCTGTGAAGACTTCATTTAGCATTTTTTTATGTTCTAATGCCTTTATTATTTTTTAATATGTATATTTTTTTATTGAAGTTCAATTTGCCAACATATAGCATAACACCCAGTGCTCATCCTGTCAGGTGCCCCCCTCAGTGACCATCACCCAGTCACCCCATCCCCCCGCCCACCTCCCCTTCCACTACCCCTTGTGTGTTTCCCACAGTTAGGATTCTCTCATGGTCTGTCACCCTCTCTAATTTTTCCTACTCATTTTCCCTCCTTTCTCCTATGATCCCTTTCGGTATTTCTTATATTCCCCATGTGAATGAAACTGTATAATGATTGTCCTTCTCCGATTGACTTACTTCACTCAGCATCATACCCTCCAGTTCCATCCACGTCGAAGCAAATGGTGGCTGTTTGTCCTTTCTGATGGCTGAGGAACATTTAGCATTTATAATGAGTAAGAGAGTAACATGTTAATTGCTTCCCAAAAGAAACCTAGACATCAGTTACACCCCACGTAGGAAAGAAGTGTCATAAGCCCTACAGCACCATTTTCCCATTTTGTATAATAGAACTCATTTTGATGGGATGTCAGCTTGTGGGGTGGGCTGTGGACAGGTGGGGTTGCTGTCTGCATAGTTGATCGCGGAGCGTCCCTGTTGCTGCCCACAGAGAGTGTGTTACTATTGCCATGAGCCCTGCTAGAGTGGAAGTAACCAAATTCATTACTTGTGCTGCAGCTCCATCTGTTTGACATTGACATTCCTGGGAAAATTACATTTCATGAATCTAAAACACTGACTCCTGGTGATAGTTTCTCCACCTTTGATACTCGTAAGTACCAGACACGTCCACATTTTAGTAGTATCAGTAGAAGAGGATCAGGTATTCCCTCTTTTTTTTCCCTCTTATGTCCCTTCTCCAGCTTCCTTACGTACCCTGACTGCAAGGCCACAAGTAGGAAGGGCAGAGAATGGTCAGAGGTCTAGAAAGGGCTGGATGAATGAAGAGCTGAGGGTCTGACATGATTTTGCTCTACCGTTTGGTCACCGCCTGCTAGTAGCATGGTCGCTTCCAGAGTTTACCTCTTCGGCAGTGATTGAACACCTCCCACATAGAGACGCATTCAAGTAGAATGAATTTCTCATTTCCAATCTGAGATAAATGGTGTCTTTATGAGCTAGAGTCCAATAGGCATAAACGTATATATACCTTTCCTCCATCCATGGCCTTGCGTGAATATCTTGCCATCCGTTTTGTGATCTTAGGTGGAGGCTTTACTGCCACACCATGTTGCAAGAGGTTAACATTTCATTTGTGCATTTTTCTGTTTGAAAAACAGCTTACTGCAGAGTGGGCCTCGGCATCTGCTACGACATGCGCTTTGCAGAGCTCGCGCAAATCTACGCGCAGAGAGGTGAGGCCAGCACAGCGCAGCTGTGTGATGTGTGGTGTGGGTGCTTCGAGATTTGGTTCTGGCTTGGTCTTTGTGGGTAAACGGAGCCCTTGGAAAAACTGGAGAGGAGGTCTTCTTTTTTTTTTTTTAAATAATAAATTTATTTTTTATTGGTGTTCAATTTACCAACATACAGAATAACACCCAGTGCTCATCCCGTCAAGTGCCCCCCTCAGTGCCCGCCACCCAGTCACCCCCACCCCCCCGCCCTCCTCCCCTTCCACCACCCCTAGTTCGTTTCCCAGAGTTTAGGAGTCTTCCATGTTCTGTCTCCCATTCTGATATTTCCCACTTATTTTTCCTCCTTTTCCCTTTATTCCCTTTCACTATTATTTATATTCCCCCCAAAAATGAGACCATATAATGTCCTTCTCCGATTGACTTATTTCACTCAGCATAATACCCTTGGAGAGGAGGCCTTCATCTCTCCATTCCCATCTGGTTGCTCAGACTCTGGCTGCACATGGACAATATGGTTTTTCGGAGGTTGTGGTTCAACACATCATGCAGCTAAGGCAGGAGGCACGTTCTGAAATCTCTACTCTTTGAGCTCCTCTTGTGCTATGTTTGGAAAGAGTCACATGGAGCCCCCTGGAAGTAAGGATGTGGTCTGCCGTGTCTGTCATGGAGGTACACCCAGTAGTCCTAGATGTTGGCTACAGTACAACGGCAGTCTGTGACATTTTGGCCCAGAGGAGTGTCCTGTTGTCCTGCAAGAACACTGAGCCACGTCGGAAGATTTGAGTTCTGGTTTCAACTCTCCCCGTTAATAGACGTGATACTTTAAATTATTTAATCTTTGGAGCAGTGTGGATCTCCGTTTTCTCATAGGCCTGTTGTGGAAATTAGGGCAGGAGAACGTAGTTCCTCGTATGGTGCCCCACAAATGTGAGCATCCCTGCCAGCCTGTCCAGGCTGCTCTGACCCGGCCCTGACTTTAACTTGGCAAAGGGGGTGGGTGCAAACATTGTGACTGACTGCTCAGCAGGAAAGGTGTACGTGGCTCCGGGTTGGCGGATCTGTCAAGTTCTCCCAGTAAGCTTTAGGGCACCTACTCTGAACCTCAGTTCATTTGAAAAGCATTACAAAATGTGGTGCTGAGGGATCCCTGGGTGGCGCAGCGGTTTGGCGCCTGCCTTTGGCCCAGGGCGCGATCCTGGAGACCCAGGATCGAATCCCACGTCGGGCTCCCAGTGCATGGAGCCTGCTTCTCCCTCTGCCTGTGTCTCTGCCTCTCTCTCTCTCTCTGTGACTATCATAAAAAAAAAAGTGCTGAGAGAAATTTGAATTTTTTTTTTTTACATGAAGTCACATACTGTGGTTTTGATCATCGTTACCACTATTTTTGTGTGTCTGTGTATAGCATGTGTGTGTCTCTAAAGGAGTTCAGAGCCGTGACGGAATACTCCTGACAGTGTCCGGCTTGGCTGCCCTCTTTATGCTTGGGAAGGTTTGCGTTTGGTCCCCACAGGGTGAGGGTCAAGATGGGGAGCTAGCGTGGTGTGGGTTGTTAACCTGCACCCACTCTCCGGCCTTTCTCTCCCAAGGCTGCCAGCTGTTGGTGTATCCTGGAGCTTTTAACATGACCACCGGACCCGCCCACTGGGAGCTGCTTCAACGAGGCCGGTAAGAAAGCATCTTGGGCATACCTGCCAGTGTCTCTGTGTTGTTCTGGGCAAAGATTTACAGTCTGGTGGAATTCCCAACTGTCCTGACGCAGAATGCTGCCCCTGACTCAGCATGTCTTGACATCCAGATGCAATTGGAAAAGATGAATCACCACCTTGACTGTGCCGTTCAGATGGGGGCGCTTATCGCACTCCATCCTTTACCCATTCTGCAAGCCCTGGAATGCTCTCACAAGACACTTGTTAGAGGCTCTTGTTTTTCTAATCTGTAAATCTGAGGCATTGCACAGTGTCTTTGGCATGTCAGAGTAGCTGTTTCCTGCCTCCCTAAGGTGGAGGGTGAGTGCTGAAGGGCAGAAACCAGAGGGGGATGTAACCTGAAGGGAGAAAGGAGTGTGACTGTGTGTGTCTGTGTAAAGTATGCTGAAAACCATGGAATATTGGTCAGAAATGTTAGCTTCCTTCCTTACAATTCTGTTAATTGGGGTATAATCACTTAAAAGTACACCAACTTTAAGTCTGTAGGTCAGTGAAGTTTTACATGTGTGTTCACCTGTGACCCAGGTCAACATGGAACACGTCCAGATCTCTAGAATTCTCCCTTTTGCTCCTTCCATCAACCCTCTCCTTCTCTACCCCGATGTAGCCACTTTTCTCACCTCTGAAAATGATGGTGGTTCTCACTGGGGGAGGAAGCAGAGGAGTTTGGCTGGTGCTGGGTGGAGGATGGGGATGGGCATCCGGTACCGTGCATGTTCATTCACGCGGTCTTGTAGAAAGCAAGGGAAGCTTGGGCGGCTTGGAGCAAGCCTGGAGAGCTCCCAGGTGAGGTAGTTGATGTACCCAGGCTGCCACCTGAATTCTTACCTCATTTGGGATAATGGGACTTGGGCCCCTGTGGGGAAGTGCCAGGTAGCCCTGCCAGGCGGCTTATGGCCCCAGTAAGGCTGGTCCGTTCTCTCTGGCCACCTTGACTTGCTCTTTTTAGGTTGACAGGTTGGCTCAGGCCAGGGTCTCAACTGTGGTGGTATTGATACTTTGGACTAGATCATTCTTTATTGTGGGGACTGTCCTGTACATTGTAGGATGTTCGCAGCATCCTTGGCCTCCACCTGCTAGGTGCCAATAGCAGCCCCATATCACGAGTGGCAGAGAGTCAAAGTCCATGTCTTCGGACATTGGCAGATGTCCCCAGGGGGCAAAATCACCTCCATTTGAGAAGTGGTTTATGCACTAAGATACTTTTTGAGGAGAAGGTTTCATGGCTTTGCTGTTTTCTTCCACATCCAGCCGGCCTGTCCCGTCCCAGTTTTTAAAAGAAGAATCTGTACATTTGGGATAGAAAAATGCCGCCAGTCTATAACGTATGAACGGCCTCTCTTTTGTCGTTGACAACAGGGCTGTTGATAACCAGCTGTATGTGGCCACAGCATCTCCTGCCCGGGATGAGCAGGCCTCCTATGTTGCCTGGGGACACAGCACTGTTGTGAGTCCTTGGTGAGTTGGCCACGCGGGGACAGATTGCACTTGGGAGGGTGGGTTTTCTGATTCTCGCCCAGCCCTGCCCCCACCGCCCCCCCCCCCCCCGTGCCCCCACGTCTCTACCTTGTCAGCGAGAGATGCTTCCGCTTGAAAGCCATGTGAGAAAAAAGTGGTCCTGCTGTGCCGACTGAGTCTTTGGCCCCAGCCCTCGTCCAAGTTTCTGAGCGCCTTCTGTGGTCCGTTGGACTTGGGTCACGTGGGGACACCAGGCAGCAGGGATGGTTGGGCAATTTCAGTTCAAAGGGCTCCCAGACCCTTAGCTTTTAGTTAAAACTGAGGCTCTGGCTGGCCCTAGAGCAGGAATTAGTTACCGGGTGAGGATTTTGCTCCCTGATACTGAATAGAGGGTGGAGGAGGGTGAGTTCATTTAAGGGAAATGGGCTTGTCCTCTGCGAGAGGGAAGAGCGTTGTGCCAGTGAAGCCAAGGGACGCTAAGTACTCTTCCTTTACCTTTGTAGGAGCAAGACCAAACTGCTTTTGGGTTTTGAAGGCCTAGATGTATTTCCTGTGATGGGAACTGTGTCTTCATTTTCTTACTGGGTTGTTGGTATTTTTAGCAGTTTGTAGGAGGTAATCTTTATGTTTGGGGACAATTCCTTTGTTCATAATATGAAATGTAAATATTTTCCCCAGTTTCTCTTGTAACTTTGCTTCTGGTGGTTTGTTTGTTTTTTGAAATCTTCATTGTAAAATAAAACACACTACATTACTCAAAAAAAAAAAAAAAAAGTGTGTGCCCAGCCACACGGCCAGTCACTTGTTACTGTGGTAGCTCATGGTCTGTATTTGTACAGTTTTCATGGCACTTTCACACCCATGCTCTCCGGGTGACCTCCTAGAGACTTTTCCTGTATTAAGCTCAGTTTCTAGATGGTAGCATTGAAGTTCATGGGACAAAGCAGCTAGGACTGGTGTTTAGATTCTGGACTTTTGACTTCGGGACTTGGATTTATTCCATACTGCTTCTCACGCGTTTGTGTGATTATACACTCACCAGCACACTGGTGTGTATTGCTGTAGTTTGAAGGTAAATATACCAGTAATGAGGCTGAGAAGGGTTATGTTTCACTGTGGGGTCCCTGAAGTTCTCTCATGTGATTTTATAGGACCCAAAGATTTAAGTGTGTGATAGGGGACGGCCTGAGAAGGGATGGCCAGGGAGCCTCCTGCACATTAGGGTTTGGGAGGCACTGGCAGCTTGTTACTCCTCAGGCCGGCTGCTTCCGACACGAGGTAGTTGTTTGAGATCTATCTTTATTTCTTCCTTTTCAGTATTCTGTCTTTGGGATTTGGGGGCCTCTGCCTTGTATGGACATTAGGACGGGTCCTGGGGTTAACCCAGAGAGCTTTCATTTCAGGGCAAATGGGGAAGAAATAGAAAAGAATAAAAAAGAACTCGGTTAAATGGCGTTAATGATCATGTCTGTAGGTCATTTGTGCCAGAGACTTGTCTGTGGCCGCCCAGGAGGCAGAACCAGTTACTACGTCAGACTGTTTGTTAGGTCAGTTTATTTATTTTGTGCTTTGGAGGAATTTCGTCTTGCTAGGCTGTCTTGGAAGTTCTGCTTCGGGCCAAGAGACTCGGAACCGGAAGGTTTCCAGGTCAGCCTTTCTGCAGACTCAGGAGGGAGTGTTGCTATTGCTACGCCTGGGGTTCCTCTCCGTTGGGGTGTGGTTTCCACCACTTCTTTCCTGCAAAAACAGAAAGCCAATAGCCTAGATCCCCAGGCAGCACAGGCCGAGGCAGGCGGTCCCGGCAGCGCCGGCCTCAGGAGGCCTGGAGGTCCGGACCCTCCCGAATCGGTCCTCCTGACGCGCTCACGAAGGGACGGGACGGAGCTCCCCTTGGTTCTAGGCGGCTCGGCAGCTCTGTTCCTGGAGGCTTAGAATCGCGGAATAACTGCCGTCTCCCAGCAGTTGGCAGTTTACAAAGCCTACTGCGCAATCCTCTGAGTCTCACAGCTCTCATTTCTACCTCGTAGGTTGGGGAATGGAGGTGGCAGCTGACTTGCCGCACGGCCACACAGCTCCCTAAACGGTAGAGCAGGAACCTGTGCGCCCCGGGCCCTTCTTGCCTTCAGCTCCCGGTCCTTCCCCTGTGGCCTGCAAGGTGGGAGAGACCAGGGATCTTGACACCCCCGAGGCTGGCAGCCCACTCATGTCACGCCCTCCCGAATCTCTTGCAGGGGGGAGGTTGTTGCCAAAGCTGGCGCCGAGGAGACAGTCGTGTATTCAGACATAGGTAAGATTCGCCGTGGCACAGCTCAGGTCCCCGGTGTCCCCGCTGGTCTGAGGCGATTCAGTAGCTGTGAAGCTGCTGTCACCTGGAGGGGCGCCCTTGTGCCGCCTTCTCATTTATCTTTGGGTCTCTGGCCAAACCCTGGGGGCTGGCACTCAGCGTGGGTTTTCTGGGTTTCGTTTGAATGACTCCTGGGGCGGTGCCAGGCCACCTGTGCCCCTGGACAAGACTGAGGTTACTATTACTTGCTGAGATTCTGGTGGTTTTTATGCTATTTGGGGAGGAAATTCTCATTGGTTAGTGAGGAGTTACATCTTATTAATGGTACACTTTCCTGTTTTCGCAGACCTGAAGAAGTTGGCTGAAATACGCCAGCAAATCCCCATTTTTAGCCAGAAGCGATCAGACCTCTATGCAGTGGAGGCGAAAAAGCCCTGAGGTTTATTTTCCTAACACGTCATGAAATAGGATGATCTGTTTCTGCAATGTGATCATCTCCCTGCTGAATTAATTAAAGAGATCTTTTTTTTTTTTTTAATTTAAATTTCAGCACTTTTCCCTACCTGAGAATTCTCCAGTGAGATGATGGAGCATCAGCACGCGTATTTTTCACACCATATTACACAGTTAAAAAGGACTCAGGCTGGCATTGAGAGCAGAAGCAAGAGGGGCTACCTCCCATGCTGAGTTGCCTCCCAGTAGTTGGTAGAAGTATCAGGCCTTGGTGTCCAGGTGATTCGCCTGGCACAAATACAGCTTGTGTCACACACCTCTTCTCTCTTGGCTGGAGTTGGAGCCCATCATGTAGAAAACTTGGGTCTGGTGCTCCTCTTTTTGGAGCAGGATTACATTTTTAGTCTGTGAGCAGATATGGGAAGCGAGGCGATGGACCCTTGGTGTTTGCTAGAGGAGGTGGCAGCCCGAGTCCTCCTGGCAGCCGGGGGGCTCCTCGGATGCAGGAAGGAGCTGGTGAATCACGCCCAGACCCTCCAGGTCGTAGGGGAGAGGCTGTGTCAACAGTGAGTCCCGTGGGGGACTGTCTGGTGTCACTTGGTCAAGGCAACTAAAGATGGTTCTCTGCAAAAGGTTTTCTTGATGGGATGAGTGTCTGAAAATCTTTTTCTTTTTGCTTTTCTCCCTGGCAAGACTTTCTAGCTTGATAAAGGCAAGTTTTTAGGCTAATTGTTTTCAGAATCCTTTTGCAGAATTAAAAATCAAGAATTCCAGTGAACCTTGTTTTTATGTACGTTGGGCTGGTAAATGTTTACCCACCAGCCGTCCCAAAGCCCTAATTTGGGTAGCATTTGCCAGTTTCCGTGGCGTAAATACTTTCACCGTGGCCGAGGTGCAAACTCTCAGTAGAACACGTCTAACCAGAGATGGGAATAAAAGCACCGTTGGCACTTGTGAGCTGGTGCGGTCCTGCTCTGCGCACCGCTGTTTACATCCGTAGTCGCCTGACTGGGAAGATAAAATCTTAGAAGAATGAGTGAGCACACACTCTGTTAGCTGTACGAGCCGTGACACCATCGTGTGTCATTTAACCTTTGGGAATCAGCATCGTACACTTGGAGGAGTACAGGAGTGAAAAGGTGAACGACATTTGAAAATTAAGTGTCCAGTTTGGTGAAATCTGACCGATGTGTACAGCCCTGAAGCGCTCTAATCAGGATGGCGAGCAGCCCTCCTCTCGGCCCGCCCCCCAGCTTTCCGGTGCTCTCTAGAATCCCTCTGTACTCTTCTCAGCCCCAGCCATCACTGATCAGCTTTGTCACTGTAGGTTAGTTTGAATTTTCTGTAATTACCTAAAAGTGGAATCCTACCACGTGAATACTTTTTTGTCTTCTTTCACTCATCGTAATTATTTGGAGACTCATCCCTGCGTGTATCACTGATTTCTTTGTTAATTGCTAAATGGTAGCCCACTAAGCGGATATACCATAATTTAAATAAACATTTGAGATTTCAGTTTTTGGCTATTAGAAATAAAGCTGTTAAAAACATTTTGTGCAAGTTGTTCATTTTTCTTGAGTAAAAATCTGGGAGTGGAACGGCGGGGTCCTCCGTGTACATCACTACCAAACTGGTTTCCAAAGTGACTGCCATTTTACTTCCTTACCCCGGTGTCCCAGTTGCTCCACATCCTCACCAATACTCACTTGGTTTGATGACCCTTTAAATTGGCCCATTTTGTTGTGTGTATAGTGTTATTTCATTGTGGCTTTCCTTTATTTTTAATTTTGTATTTCCCTAATGACTAATAACGCTGAGCATCTTTTCATGTGCTTTGCTGTCTGTGCATCCTTTTTGCTGTCTGTGCATTCATATGTTTTCCCCATATTTTTATTGGATTATTTATCCTCGTATTGATTAATAAGAGTTCTTTTTATATTCTAGATAAAAATCCTTTCTTCTTTTAAAGTTTGCCCTTTTTTATGTTGTATTGAAGAAATTGCCAAACCCAATGTCGCTAACTTTATCCTGTTTTCTTTTGGAAGTTTTATAGTTTGCGCTCTTACATGGTCAATTTTTTATATATGGTGTGAGGTAAGAGGATGCTTTTCGGGGTGCCTCAGTGGTGCAGTTGGTTGAATGTCCAACCCTTGGGTTCAGCTCAGGTCATGATCTCAGGGTCTTGGGATCGAGCCCCATGTCAGGCTCTGCACTTAGAATGGAGTCAGCTTGAGATTCTCTCTCTCCCTCTGCCCCTCCTGCTGGTGCTGTCTCTCTCTCTCAAATCTTAAAAAAAAAAAAAAAAAGTCAAGATTCTCTTTTTCTTTCTTTTTTTTTTCCCTTTTGCCTATGGTTATCTAGTTGTTCGAGCACCATTTGTTGGAAAGATTACCTTATTCCCATTGAATTGCCTTGATATCTTTATGAAAAATGAATCTGCTGTGTATATATCTATTTTTAAAGATTTTATTCATGAGAGACGAGAGACAAAGACCGAGACAAAGGCAGAGGGAGAAGCAGGCTCCCTGCGGGGAGTCCGATGCGGGACTCGATTCCAGGACCCCGGGATCACGCCCTGAGCTGAAGGCAGACTCTCAACTGCTGGGCCACCCAGGCGCCCCTTTTATGGATTTTAGTATATATTTTTAACATCACAGTCAACCTGCAAGTATTGTGCCACTTGACATGTAAGAATTTTAAGTAGTATACTTGATTTTACCCTTTCGTTTGTGTTGTCATACATTGTACTTCAGCATATGTGTGAACCCCACAATACATTGCTATTTTTGTTTTAAACACTCAATAATATTTTTTTTTAAGATTCTATTTATTCATGAAAGACACACAGAAAGAGGCAGAGACACAGTGGCAGAGGGAGAAGCAGGCTTCTCGCAAGGAGCCCCATTATGCCCTGAGCCAAAGGCAGTTGCTCAACCGCTGAGCCACCCAGGCGTCCCCCCAATAATCTCTTAAAGATACTTAAAAAGCAAGTAAAAAAAAAAGGCAAGTAAACATCTTTTGTTTGCCAACATATTTACCATTTCTGATACTCTTCATTAGAGTAGATCTTTGTTTTTCTACTTGAAGCACTTCCTTTAACGTTTAGGTAGTGTAGGTCTGCTGGTGATGTATTTTCTTAGTTTTTGTATGTCTGAAAAGTCTTTATTTTGCTTTCATTTTTAAAAATATATTCTTACTGATTGTAGACTTCACCTTGTTACTTTCCTTTGAATGTTTTAAGTATGCTGCTGTACTGTCTTCCGACTTGCATTCTAGAGGCAAAGTACATTATTATCCTTTGTCCTCTGTAATGTCTTTTTTTTTCCTTTATGTACCTTTTTTTCTCTTGATTAAATTTATAGAATTTAATTATGATATTAAGCTTTCGTGCAGTTTTTTTTTTCATGTTTCTTGTGCTTAGGAGTTTTGTGATTTGTGCATCCTTGGTTTTATAATTTTTATCAAATTTAGAACATCACCAGCTATGATTTCTTAGTGTTATGAACCTTTCCCTAATCATACACATCAGGCTGCTTGAAATTGTCCCAGCAATGATACTATTGTCTTCGCCCCTCCTCCCCCCCACCCTGGTATTTTTTTTTCCCCTGGGTATTTCCTTTTGGCTATTTTCTGTGTTTTTGGTGTATTTTTTCTTTATTATATCAGTGGCTCTCTTTGCTTTGTCACTGTCAAGTGCCTGCACCAGGCAGTTTCCTCATATCTGTGTGATCAGTACTCGGCTAAAGATGTGCTCTGCAGATCTCTTGAGCTTCCTTCCTGTCTGTGCTGCTCTCTCCTCTGATCCCTCTGCCCCGTGAAGTCTTACTGTCTTGGCTTCTCGCAGCTTCCAGCTTCACCTCCTTCCTCAGGGGGGCTTAACCTCCAGCTGTGGTCCCATTCCCTGTGCTGCAAACTGGAAATTCAAGTTCGAGCAATTAGACGGTTCACCTCTTTCCTTTACCTTCTCTTGGATCACTATCCTGAGGCCTGATGTCTGAAAAATACTGTCTCATATGTGGTCCTTTTTTAAGTTATTTCAGATGGGAGGTAAGTCTGATCCCCATAACTCTATCTTGGCTACAACTAGAAGTTCCCAAATAACTTCTTAGTGTTATAAAAATACTTTAAAACTCACAGATCTTTTAAAGGATGTCAGAACTTTCAGGTAACCATGGACTGCATTTTGAGGATTGCTCTGTATCCTAATAGGCCCACAGACAACTATTTAAAACTTCATAATTTTAGCGTGAAACTGTTTTTGGTTAGAGAATCTTGCAGTAAACCCGGTATCTGTGAGAATGATCTGCCTGATGTGGGTGTGGCGAGCCTAGGAGCCCTCTGCCTTGGATTCCTTCTTAGTCCCCAAAGAACACCTTGTGGTATTTCCGTCAGAGAAGAGCTCAATAGTCTGAAAACTAGTGGACAAGCCATCCTAGCTATCTCGATGACGCCATGGAAGGAAAGACACTTTACCTTTATGTAGCATTCCTATAACTGATAGAGCACATGGACGCTAGAACTTGTTTGGTATTTCATTAAATGCGTGTCATCTTGTCCTTTTGGTGTCGTATTTGGGCGATCCTGCCTTCTGGTTCATTAGAACGCGGAAATGAATGAATGAAGGAGGCTTCTCCATTAGCAGGTAACATTTCATTCTACAATGTGTGGTAACATGCCCCCTGTTAAGAAAGTGATACCGATCACAGCGAACCTTGGATTTGGTCCGCTTGCAACAGAACACTGCGGTTCAAGGCCCTGAAAATGTTTTGGTCAAAGGTCATTCCCCTGTAATCCCTCACTTTCTGTTGAGCAAAGATACTTTTTTGCATAACACATGTTGCAATCCTTCTGCAGCTCAACTAAGGCAGCACATTTAACTAATTGACGTGACTCCCTTAGAGTCCCGATGTCTTTTGTTGAAATAAGTCAGGATATGCAAGTAGTTCCGAAAGTGCCACTCAATATTGGCCTCGCCTGTAAGGTTGAGAGCTAACAGATAATGGGTTTTGCATTGGTTGCAAATGAGTAAATTACTGACATTACAGGGTTTAAACGGACTATTGGATTGTGACTTCAAGTGGATGTTTAGGGAAGGGCTTCTTGCTGCCACCAAGTTAGGTCTGTGCAAAGTCTACCAAGTAAAAGGGTTTAGACAAGAGTTTAGTTTTCAAGATCAATGTTCTGCTCCACTTGTAGAAGTTTTAAGTCTTTAATGCTCCCTCCTAAGACTGTGGGGTGTGTTTTGGTGGTGAGTGGGTCTGATGAAGCCAGGCGACGGATGGCAAGGGAAAAGCTGTGTGTTCTGTGACGTCTGCAGTGGCCACACCTTGCCAGTGCAGCAGCTTTCATATGGGCTTTTCTCCTTTATGCCTTACAACCACCTTTGTGTTGCAGTCACATCTTTCTTGTTAAATTATTATCTTCATTCGGTTCTATACTTGAGCAAAGATTAAAGAAAAAGTAAAAGCTAGTTATTGGAAGAGAGAATGCACTTCAGGATAAAGTGGTCTTGTTAAAATTAAAAATTAAAAAGTTAAGGTACAGGGGTCCCTGGCTGGCTCAGTCCGTGAAATGTGTGACTCTTGATCTTAGAATTGGGAGTTCAAGCCCCACCTTGAGGTTAGAGATTATTTAACAACAACAACAACAACAACAACAACAAAACCAATTTAAACTCCAGATCTACCATCAAATAACCAAAACTCAAACATGCAAGGACATTACTTCTTATTAATTACTTCATAGCTGGTTCATAATTCACCAAGTGAACAAGAATCTGGAAGAACAGAGCATGGTGGGCAAGCTGTAATATTCTAAATGTTGTGATTCCTAGCTCTTCCTGAAATATTTGAAACCCTACAAATGTGTTCCTTGGTACTCAAGTGTTACTACTCTTGTGTCTGTAGATTCATTCTCAGAGTTTCTCCCTTGAAACCATACCATCCTGTAAAAAACTATTTTTTCACTACCTTTTTATTATTAGTCCATCACAATATTACATCAGTTCAGGTGTACAGCATATGTCCTGCTGTCTCACCACGCGTGTACTGCCACCTGCCACCATACAATGCTGATGTAATAACAAGGACTGGACTCCCCACACTCTACCTTTCATCCTCCTGACTTACTCATCCCATAAGTGGAAGTCTCTGTCTCTTCTTGTGCCCATTTTGCTCCCCTGCACCGCCACAACCATCAGTTTGTTCTGTGGGTCTCTTTTTCTTTGTTTATTCATTGTTTTGCTTTTTGGGTTCAACATACAAGTAAAATCATATGGTCTTCTTTCTCTTATTTAGCATGATACCCTCTGGGTTCATCCATGTTGTCCCAGTGGGCAAGCTTTCATCTGTATTATGGCTGATACCGTTGTATATATCGATCACATCTTTATGCATTCCTCTGTGGACGGACACTTGAATTGCTTCATTTTGTTTATTGTAAATGCTGCAGTAAACATAGAGGTACTGGGCACCTGCGTGGCTCCGTGGTTGAGCATCTGCCTTTGGCTCAGGTTGTCATCTGGGGGTGCCGGGATCGGGTCCCTCATCCGGCT